ATAGATGCAAATAATTAGCATAACGAAAAGCTCCGTGAATTGTTTAATAAATAATCAATTTTAATCAATAAATTAAAATACTTTCATAATTTAATATTCCGCGTTAATGTATATTTTATAATATAGTTATATTTTATATTTTAAAATATTTCGGCAACAAATTATCGTTAACGCGTCGTTCGACTTTGGCAATATAAAATATAAACAGTAGCGCGCTATACATTGCCGCTTTGTAATTATTCGCACGGTGACTCTCGAGTAATAAAGTAGTAGTAAGAAACGCTTCGTATAATGTAATTTTTTTACTAAACACGATTACGATTAATATCAAAACATAATTTGCTATAAATATTAACAAAAATTAATTAATTGAAAATTAATTGGCGACATGAAACAGTACCGCAACGATCTTTATCGAATCGCAATCATTCATTATAAAAATTGAAACATGGGATATGTAAAAGGGGATAAGAAAATTAATTATGTTATAATATCGATCATTAATGCTTATTATAATATTTCTTTAACAAGATTAGAATTAACTATATTTTGACCAATACTTTAAATATTCTCCTTGTTAATTAAATCCTTATTAATTAAACAAATTATGTATCACAATATGTAATTATTTTAATCTTTTAATTTTACGATACATTAATACGTTAGATATATGAAATACATTAATATGTTAAAATATTTCAACATTGAATTAACAACAATATAGTATCCGATATAAACAGTATCGCCTTAATGATTTTGTTTTACGGTCTTGTTAGGCAAATTTAAATTTATATCACAAAATGAATTTTAAATTATATATATTATATTATATATAAAAAAATTATATATAATATAACCCTTCCATGGGGTACACCTTGTCGTGGTGGGAGGGCTTAGTACTTGGATGGTGCCTTGAGATTTATTTTAAATTTTTCTATTTACGATAAATCTTATGGTGCCTGAAAGGGAAGCGAAGTACCCTTTCGCGTCGTCGGTGCCGTCAACGTGCCGCGGACGGCTGCGCTTCGCGTTTTCGCGTTATAGCATTCTCGCGTTATCGCGTTTTCGCGTTTTCAAAATCCCAATTTCGTTTTTGTCAACGAGTTTCTCCTTCCGACGCCAACTAACTGGGATGTTTCATCGAGTCGTTGCTTTGCGACGTACTCGCGCCTTGTGCAACGTGGCACTTGGTGATGCCGGCCGCGCAGAACGTATGTCCAGTACAAAATGTACATGGGCGCGCGGGTTCGATGCTTCGCGCTCGATCGGCTTAGTGATGAACACGCTCTGCTTCGTCAATTGATTTGGCCCGAATCGGTTAGAACTCGATCGATTGTTCGAAATGGTCGTCAATGGGTCCTTTCTCTTTGCTCGTCTACTCTACAGCCACACGCCTAGCGTGTGTTAACCCTGTCGAGGAGTCGAGTGGATTCCCCTAGGCGCGATTTTCGCTCGGTAAAAGGGGTTGCCTCCCCATTTTCTAAATTGCTGAATGTTAGCTTTTAAAAAATGTGGGTATCCTCTTCTTTTACCGTCTATCAGCCTTGTGTACTGCGCTAGTGATATAGCATCCGTGCGGGTCACTTGAAATCGTGCTTAGCGGGTCCAGGTTCGATACGAGATAGGATAATTATGCGCGAAAAAGAGCTGGTGAACTTTATTTTCCTCTATTCCGTCAATCGTTTCGTCTTCTTTCCGGTTCGGGCCTAATCTTTGCTCGTTGTATCGTTGCATTCCCGACCTGTTGGCTCGAAATTGATTCTCGCGAAATGAAATGGGATTTTCGCTCGTACCGAAACCGGGAGTGTCGGACAAAGTATATATATATTAAATATATACATCGCGCGACAAAATTTTTAATCGTACCGAATTAGTGCGGGAGTGTCGTTTAGTATCGCGCGTAAAATAACGAAAATAGCGATATAAAAATATCGCTCGTGAGTGCGGGAGTGCCGTTTAGTATCGCGCGTAAAATAACGAAAATAGCGATATAAAAATATCGCTCGTGAGTGCGGGAGTGCCGTTGAAAGTATCGCGCGTCAACAACATGAGAGGAGGAGGAGGCCTGGGAGAGGCATCTTGCATCGGCGGAGCAACCTGATGGTGAATATTTATTATTTGTATATCAATTGTTATAAATCGTACGCATAATAATTCGATCTTATTTAAATGAATTAAAGAGAAAATTAGAGAGAAAGATTTTTATAAAAGTTATATAAAACTTTTTAAAAAAACTTTCTTAAAAAACAGTTTTAAAATTTTATAAAAATTTTCCACACATGTTTATCTCTGCTTATTATTTTACACATCGGATATAAAATTCCGCGCGATAAAAATTTTTTGAATTATTGATTGCATTTTGTAAGCATTAATATAAATGAATTTTATTTGTATGTTACAGACAACTAGCTTCGATAACAACAACTCCGCTGTTGCGCATCAGTGCCGGTGAGTGAGAAAAACTTTTATTTAACTTTAAGGTAACGGATTCGTAGAGATTGTAGATGTAGATTGTAGATTATAGATTGTAGATTGTAGATTGTAGATTGTAGACTGTAGATTGTAGATTGTGAATTGTAGAGTAAGTCCGTTGCCTTAAAATGGATGAGCTAGGATAGATTAAATTAAATAACTTTTAATAAATTCTTTCGAAATGCTTTACATCTATTGCGAAAATATATTGAAGTATTAATTTAAAAAAGAGAATCAAGAAAATTTTTTTGTAAAGACTTTGTCTAGTTTATTAAATCAAGAGCATGCATTAATAATTTTAACAATTTTATCAATTTTTGATACTACTTTATTCTTATAACGCGCACTTATTTTATTCTAATTTCTTATATCATAGCTCATCCATTGTAGAATTTGTTTGTAGATATTGTTTTTAAATTTTACTTTAACTTAAAATAAAGCCAAACGATTAATTAATTAAATAATTTGTAATATCATAAAAGTTATACACACACATGAATTTTCTATTTTATTAGAAAATATATAGAAAATATATAGAAATTTGTAGTAATTTGGCTTTATTTGAGTTAAAATAAAGTTATATTCAAATATTTAACGAACGATCGTAAAATCGAGCGATCATTATGATGAGCGTGAAATATTTACACTCATTTGCCGATAATTAATCGGTAAAAGAAGGAGTGTTTATCTCCTTTTTCGATCTCTGATTAGAGATCGAGCGAAAAAGTGGCCAGGATTAACGAAAAGTAAGTTCAACTGGCCTGAAGAATACGGTTAGGGCACGTGACTAAAATATGTACATGATTAGGTGAAGTGATGATTAGGTTCTTCCAATCTCAAATAATTGTAATTAATCAGGAAGTAGGGTTGTTAAGGCTATAAGTAGAATCATTAGACTTCTTCTATTAATATTAGGGTTGTTAGGGCTCTTAAGATCATTAGAATTCTGTAATAGTAGGATTGTTAGAGCTATTAAAATTATTAGAATCTTTTAATAGTAGGGTTTTGTTAGGGCTATTAAGTAAGATTCATTCTTTCTTTTAATATTCCAATAATCCTAGGGATAAATTAAAATGATTTTCATTAAGTTGAATTTATTTTTATAAACGATCTAAAAATAAATATAACATGTTTAAAAGTAAAATTTAAATTATCAAAATTATCTTTAGAAATATTAAAGAAATTGCATAATTATTAACGTTCAAGAAATCTTAACATGTTATATTTTATTTTAAAACTTAAAAATGTGTGTATTAAATCAAATATAATATTAAATCCAAATGTTAATGCTGTCAATATCAAATTATTATATCGATGTTATTAAATATTTGCATAAATGGAATATTATTAGTTGACATTGATAGCATCATAAATTTATAAATTGTAAATTGTAAATTATAAATAGTTATAATTGTATTTTAGTTATAATCTAACATTGATATTTTAATTGTAAAATACAATTATGACTATAATTATATTATGTGAATTTGTATTGACGATTGTAAATTCTTATGTTAATTACACGAAAAATTATCGAAAGTATACGTATAATGATTACATAATAGTAATTAACATAAGATAATAGTAATTTATTAAAGTATTTAACAAAAGATAATAGTAATTCATTAAAGTATTTATTTCCGTAGTATATATTTTTGGAATATTCATAAAAGAGTAATTGTTTGTAAATTCGGAAAATTTTTATATAAAATATGAACATTCGATGCTAAATTAATGATTAAATATAAGCATTATAAAATTTGACGGACGCCTTCGTTACAGAATCACGAATCAATTATTACAAATTTAATGATATGCTTTCCGTTAGCTTCATTTATTTATGAATTCCATATCGCGCGGAACTAAATATTCTTAAAATAAATTATTAAATTATGATTGCAAAAATACCGTATTCTTTCCGCGTTCTCTTCACGTTCTTGTACAAGATTATCATTTTAACAAAAGAATTTTATCGCTGTCCCTCTCATCAGATAATATTCCTAAATATTGCTAATTAAATATAAAGAAATGTCGAATAAGAGAATGAAGATTTGATGTGATAAGTCAACGATTAAATAATAACTTCACAAAATTTAACATCACCTTCGATATTATAGAATCGCGAGTTAATTATTATGAACTTAATAATTTGTTTTTTCAGTTACGTATCGAAATTTCGTATCGGAAAATAAATAAATTAATAAATTAATATTTCATAAATAAATTAATAAATTACGCTTCTTTAAAGTCGAATTAATTTAAATAATATATATTTAGATAAAAGAAATGTATCTTTCGCGATTGAATAATTTATTTACTATCAATTTATATACATAAGTGTCTTGTTATACTCTGGTGCTACCGGCATTTCATGCACATAGCACGGAACGAAACCAGAAATTGTGCACATTATATCCTCTGAGAACATTCACGGACATTGGCTTTGTAGTTCATGTCCACGTTTTCAATGTCCATAGAGGGAGTATCGCTTTCAGGGATCACCTAAAAGCAGGCCATGACATCTATCAGTCTTCTCTCTGGTGACAGTGTCACACGTGACAGCGTCACACGTGACAAGATGTAGCGTCCGCGGTAAACTGAAATAAAATAAGAAAAAAAGAGAAATTAACAACGAAAGATGGAAACGGAAGAGCTTTACAATATCAGTATCTCTCCGCTGGTGACGATCCCATTCGCAACGCAATGGTCACCCGACAATCAAATATCCATAATCACAGACAAAGGCGTTCACGTATTCGTAAGTTACATTGCACTGTTACTTCATTTTTATAAAAAAAGGAAAAAATATTGAGCATTAAATAGTTTTTGTAATACATGTAATTTTTGAATTTAATACATATTTACACCGTTAAATGATTAATCTAATGAATATTGAATTACATAGAATATGACCAGGTTAGGTTAGGTTAGGTTAGAAAAAACTGAAATTTAATAATTGCCTAATTTTAGCCACAATATATTAAAAAATTGATATATTATAAAATTGATTTGAATTACGATCGCGAAAAAAGTAATGTTATAATAGTAACTTTTTTCTTATAGGAGCTGCAACCTTCACCCATGTCTCCTAACTCGACAATCAAGTTTGCTCGTTCCTTTATATATCCTCCTGAAAATTTGCCAGCATGTTCATTTGCGAATAAGATAGACTCATTAATATGGAATCTGGACCGTGAAAACATTTATTCGATTCTCATGGAAGAAACAATAACTCCGATAATAGATGGTGTAAATGATATGAACCACAGAATAGTAAATATAATGTGGTCGCCAAAAAATTTGATCTCTCCCAGCCAGTGTGTATTAGCAATATTAACTACAGCAGGTACTGTTGAATTGTTGCATAAAGTTTTCAATGTGTGGTATTCTATATGTGACATTTCATCTCTTCGGCTGAAGAATATGAAGGATAACATTATATCTAATCTTGATAAATGTAAAAAATCAAAGGATAAATATACAGTGATAGTTGAAAATATGCGGCAGTTGCAAGCATGTGCTATGACGTGGAGTGAACTGTTCAAAATAGAAGAAGCTTCCTTTGCATATTTTTCTGTAGCTTATTATAATGGAGATATATTGATTTGGAAGATTCCTAGAATTTCAAACTTTACAGAAAGCTTAATACCTGTATCCATTGGTCAAATAAATTTGAACACTGCTGTAAGAATAAGTGTATTATGTTGGATCACTATTAACACGAATGAATATTTGCTAGTCGTTGGATATTTTGATGGTCGAATATATGGTGTTAAATTTATATGTGATAATGATCTACAAATAGTGTCAATAGAAAAATATGTTGCTCCAAATCGTGTAACAATTAATTATTTACACATAATTTCTCAAGATGAGTCAACTGTGAACATTCTTGCTGTCAAAGGCACTTTTCTTTTATTATTATGTATAAACTTGACAGGAACATTGAAGAGTATACAACATGTACAAATGCAAGGATTTAATATTTCTGGTATGTAGATATCTTCAAAAATTATAGTTTACAATTATAGTTTACAATAAAATTTTATAAATATTATTTGTATAGTTAATGATTTTTATATATAGATATATTTTTTATATATTTTTATATAATTTATAAGTAATTATTAATTGGACTTTAAAGTATTAAGGATATTTGTTTCAGGTATAATCCCTATTGCTGCTCAGCAATTTTTGATGACCACACAGGATAATCAATTTTTCATCGTTAACACAGAGTCAAACAATTTAATCATTGTTGACATAGAAAATCATTTGACACAGGGAACAGTTCAGTCTTTAGGACTTGCTCACTCGCCAAATAAAGTGATGTTTATTAATATAACTAGTCCAAGAATAATTTATGATCATTTAGTCATGAGGGAACCGAGTGTAATGCATATATTCACTTTAAAGGGCTCAATATGTGATCCATTGTCTATTATTAATAACAGTACAAATCTTATAAATGTTTGGGATTGCATGGAAGTGCTCAGACTTAAAGCCACTAAGGCAGAAGATCCAAGTATGGTATTGTGTCCTGCTATAGAGAAGCTCGAATCGTTATCGCTTTACAAATTGCAATTGTCAATGTGGATGACAGTGATGATCAATGTGTGCACGACGAAAAAACCAATACCTAATATAAATCATATACGAAAATGCAAAATAACGCCAGCGCTACCATTGATATTTTTACATTCCGCTTGCGCATTTCTCGATAATTCGACAAAGAAGAGCACACTGTCAAAAGATCAAAGACTTGCCGTGAGCTTACTCAGAAAATATTTGGAAGTGTATCTTGCAGACGAAGATGAGGTGAAAGAGGATGTCGCGTATCAACGCGTTCGAGAAATATTGAACGCGACTGCATCTTGTCTTAATGAAATTGAGAAGTGTGATCTATGTGGTGAAGTGATAGATGAGCTCTGGAATGTCGCATCTTGTCCGCAGGGTCACAAGTTACCCAGGTGTAGTACAACATTATTGCAGATAACATTATTAGAATATTATGTTTGCCCGATATGCGCGCAAATCTTCCACCCATGCTTGAAAGAAATGTATGAGGAACCGCAATGTCAGTTCTGCGATATGCCTATTCTGCAAAACTCTTATGCTTTTGATGTAGAAGAATCTAAACTATACGGAAGAAACTTGTCCCAACAACGCATTACAGATGTGGAATCATCGAGAGAATTGAACTCGGAAGAAACACATGAAAATCAACGAAGAAACAAATGGGATACATCGCATAATTACTCTGTAATTATGAATGATGATGATGATGAATCAGGCAGAATTACAGAAAAATGGGAAGAATTCTAATGAAAAATATCTATGAATATACTTATTAAAGCAATTCACACAAGTATGATATTAAACACATATTTATATCTTTAGATTTATATTTATATTTTATATTTATATTATTATTTATATTTTATTCTTATTGTGATGATTTTTAATATATTGTAATAAATGAGAATTAAATTGAAAATAAAATAGTTTTATATAGTTAATCTAGCTTACACAAAAAGCTAGAACAAATCCTTTTAATTTATAAAACTATAAAATAATCGAGGACTCTTTGTTGTTATTAAAATGTGTATTTTTTAAATATATTTACATTAAATAATAATTATATCTATGTAAAACTTATTATCTAAGGACGTAATCTTTGGGATACTTTAAAAGTTGTGGGAAGTTATCTACTTCTTCCTTTGGAATATGATCTAGTCGAACTGGAACAGGTCTTAGCTGTTTAATCTGATTGCTAATATTTTCCAATATATCCTTAGGTATCTTGTTGTTTGGAAATATGTGTAGTCTTTGCATAGTGTGTCTCCGTTGTAAGTTTTTTGGCAATGCGCTATATACAGCCTTTTCCACAATCTAAAATTTATACATAGAATTATATAGTATAAAACATTCAACAACACTTTATATTTTATTAAGTATTCACATTTTGTAATTACGAAAGATTAATTACCAAAGTTGGATCCTTGTTATGTAACTCCCATGCGAGAGTCCAAGTAGCACCTCCATGATACGTTGTATGATGAAAATATACACGTTTTCGCCACTCATCGCCACGTAAGGCAATCTCCTTGCTGTTTATTACTACTACATGATCGCCACAATCATCTAAAAATGATTAACAATTTATTAACAGTTACCATAAAATTATATTAGATTTTCTATTTATGGCACTCAAATCTTGTATTTTTTTTACATTAAAAAATTTATACACATCGCAGCATAACTTTAAGTCATTATAAAAATCTTAATTAATATATTCTCTTATTCTATATTAGTGATGATAATTGCAAGATTTTTAATTTATATGTATGTATACTATTCTTTTTTACATAAAATAATATGTAAAAATGAAAATATTTTTTTCTCTTTGTAGCATTTTGTATATTTTTATAATAATTTAATTGCTTATAAGAATGTAAAATTTTAAAAAGAAATTAACAGAATTTTTTACACAATTTTAAAACAGATAATAATAAAAGAAGAAAGATAATATAGTTTGTTAAAAAAAATATATATTTACTCAATGGATGATATATTGGTTTATACAATCCCATGAGATAGTCCTTTAATAATTTTGCACTTCGATATGGATCCTGCCATTTTGCATCATAAACGTGCCAAATACGGGCAAATGTTCCCCAATGCTGAAAATAAATCGCTTACATCAATATAAAAATAAATTATTCGTGCAAAATTATGCTACAAACTTATGTTCATAAATAGGAAGTAATTAGTTTGAGATAGATATTCTATTGTATTCTCTATTGTAAGAGATGTATATGAGAAAATTGTGAGATTATTATATATAATATCAAAAAAGGCAAACCTGTCCTCTTCGTGCAAGTGACATGATAATTTCCGGCAATAAACTTTTTCTCGTACACTGCTGCAATATTCTATTCTTGGTTGTGTTCTACTTAATTTGAGGTTATAATCGCAACGTGTTCCAAAATTCACTGCCAGCGCTGAAAATCTATAGTTCACGTTACGTATATTATATATTTTGGGAGCGTCCCATTTGACCACGTTGCGATTGACCACAGCCAATTATTATCAACCTGTGCCTAGGGTAACTAGCAACGATTAACCAATTAGAGAGTCCTATTTTGAATTGGCCAATTGGCGACGTGGTCAATCGGGTGCAACCTTATATTTTCAACGCTGGCAGTGAATTTTGGAACATAGGCTTAAATACATTGGGTCTGTTCTTTTCAGCTGCTACACTAGTGAAATAAGTTAGAAAGAGACAAACATGCTTTCTTTCACTCTAACTAATAGTAGTAGTGCAGCAGTGCAGCTGAAAAGAACAGACTCACTATTTCACTTGGATGTGTGTGTTCTCAAAAGTCGAAACTTTTAATTATTAGAAAATAAGAAGCTAATTGTCATTATTTTCGAAATCGCTGAAAAATTCTAAATTATTTATTTTATCATCTCTCTCCTCAATGTTATATATTTTAGGTAAATATAAATTAAAGTTGTTTTAAATCTAAAATATATATGTATGAAAGCAAGAACAGAGAGAGGAATGACAGACATTTTCGGGCTTCTCTCTGGCAAAAACCTGATTTTTCTGTATCATAATTTTACTACATTTATTTATTAATATTTTATGTATCATAATTTATTAATATTTTATGTATCATAATTTTACTACATTTATTTATTAATATTTTATATATTGTGGACACGTTTAATATTATTATATTGTATTATTAATTATATTATTAATTGTAATATACACACGTGTTTGACATTCATATTTATGTATACACAACTTATTTTTTTTTTAATTAATTTCTTCTAAAATGAATCATTTATACAGAAATAATCATTTAATGCATTATTATATGATTTTAAAATTGCTAAAAATATATTACACACGCACACACAAAATATGTATAAATAAATATAATTATAATGTAATATTCGTATATATATATATATATATATATATATATATATATATATATATACGAATATTACATTATAATTATATTTATTTATATATGTTATGTGTGTGTGTAATATTATTTTTTATCAATTTTAAAATCATATAATAATGCATTAAATGATTATTTCTGTATAAGTGATTAATTTTAGAAGAAATTAATTTGAAATGTAATTATAATGTAAAAAAACACATATATATATGTATTTTTTTACATTATGATTACATTTCATTATATAATACATTTGATATGTTTTGTGCGCTTTTTTCGATGCTCTGTTTAAATTTATGAGATGACGCGCGTGAAATTCATGGAAACGCAGCTTGCTTGGTGGTGACAGCGCAGCAGGCGGCAGCGCCGTTGCATGTTGCATACGTGTCTATCGAATCGTATGTCTATCGTATGATTCCAATCGGAGTGTCCGCCGTAATTGTATAGATTGTCGAGAATAATTACGTCTCAGTACGCAACAGTGTCGAATACGCGTGCCGAACTGGAGCGGATTTCGTCGGATTTCGAGATTACGTCGGCGTTGCGTCTAACAACAGCAGCCTTATGCCATTTACGACCCGCCCCTCGATGTGATCCGCGACTCCGAAAGACGGAGACGATTCCGATGGATCATCGAAATCGTCCTCACGCCGACAATCGGCATCCCGGAGAGTGTCAATTCAAGTCAATCGGCTGATTGGCGCTCAACGTCTCGGCTTGACAGCGAGCTGTCATGCGTCTGGTTGCACGAGTCGTGCCTGTAGAACTTTAAGAAAGCGGTAACGTGTCAACGATGGCGAGCCCTGCTATTACCAGCAGCCCGGAGAACATCTCCAAGTTCCTGGAGACTTTACAGTCGGATCTTAAGGTACTCTCCTCAGAGACCAAGAAGAAGTATCCGCAAATCAAGGAGGTACATGAGATGTGAAATCAGCTTTATTATACTTTGGATTACTGAAAATAAATGTTTTTGGTTTCGCTTAAAGTTTGGCTTTTTATAAACTATGATTTATAATATAGTTCTTGCAGAATATTTGCATTACATTTAGAGAAATATAGCTTAAATTTGCATTAATGAGTATAAATTATAATTACAATATTATGCTGTCTTTTTTTCTATTCTTTAATATTTAATGAATGAGCGATCCATTTTGTACAAAAGGAAATTTATATATAATTGCTTAAATTTAGTAATCTTTATGATATATGTTTATTACAGTCATGTGAGGAAGGAATTGCAAAGTTGAGGACAGCATCAAATAATCCAGGGACACCAATATATTACATTGTAAATCAAATACTTTATCCTTTAGTACAAGGTTGCGAGAGCAAGGATATAAAAATTATCAAGGTATTAAAGATGACATTTTGCTTTTATAAATGTTATTTATATAAAGAGTAAAATTTTCAAATTTAAATATGTCTGCTTTTCTAGTTTTGCTTAGGCATGATGCAAAGGCTAATAACTCAACAAGCAGTAGATCAAAAAGGTGCTCGATACATTACGGATACCTTGTGGTTGTTAATGGAATCTGGCACAGAGGAAGTTAAAGTTTTGCAGACTGTAACTCTTTTACTTACGAGTAATGCTGTAGTACATGGAGATACTCTTGCAAGAGTGAGGATTTATCTACATTTGAATATATTTGAATTTTCTTTTTTCAACAAAATGTTTCAAATATTTCATCCGAGATTGTATTTTTTAGAACTTGGTGCTTTGTTTTCGATTGCACTTTACAAAAGATTCTACAACGATAAATACAGCTGGTGCTACTGTGAGGCAGCTAGTGTCTTTGGTATTTGAGAGAGTAGTTGCCGAGGATGAACAAAGTTCTGAGCAACTAGATTCGGAGGAAGTTAATTTAGAAGAACTTAAAATTCCAACAAATCAAGCGCCTAAAGGTCTTGGCCCTTGCGCTGCAGATGCATATTTAATGTTTCAGGTAATTTCATTAATAATTAATAATTTTTATTAATTATATAAATTATAGTGATGCATTATTTTTTTTAATAATTATATTATAGAATATAATTATCTATCTGTATATATTTATTATATTGTGTAAATTTTATTTTAGGATCTAGTTCAATTGGTAAATGCTGATCAACCATACTGGTTGATTGGAATTACTGAAATGACCAGAACTTTTGGCTTGGAATTACTAGAATCAGTTTTAACCAATTTTTCATCAGTTTTTTTTAAGGTATTAGTTGATATACATATACAAAATAAAAAGTTTAAGAGATTTATCTTTTTTTGAAAGATACAAAATTATTTTATATTTATATATATATATATCATAAATACAATTTTTAGCATCCAGAATTTAGCTTTTTGCTGAAAGAAAGAGTATGTGCACTTGTGATAAAACTATTTTCACCCAACATCAAGTATCGTAATTCAGTACCAGCATCTTTGCAACAAGCTACGCCTTTAGATAAACCTTATTTTCCTATTAGTATGAGGCTCTTGCGAGTTGTGTCAATTTTGATACAGAAATACCATTCCTTGCTGGTAAATATATCAGAATTTGCACTGTGATATGCGAATGTGATATTGGTGCAATTTAAAAAGAATGTTTTTAATGTTTTAGGTGACAGAATGCGAAATTTTCTTATCCTTAATTGTGAAGTTTTTGGATCCTGATAAACCTACCTGGCAAAGAGCTTTAGCATTGGAAGTTTTACACAAAATGACAGTGCAAGCAGACTTGTTGACAAACTTTTGTGAATGTTATGATTTGAAACCACATGCTACAAATATTTTTCAAGATATTGTCAGTAGCTTAGGTGCTTATGTACATAGTCTTTTTGTGAATCCACAGATGATGAGTCAGACAGGTATAGATTATTGCATTATGTTTATGTTTAACAGAATTAAAATTAATATAATGTTATCCACTATCTTTCTAATATGTTTTAGCTTATTCCAAAGAATTTATATGCAAAATACATTCTTCTGAATTTTTATTACTATCCAAAATGTACACTGTATATTTTCCTTTTTTATTCTTTTACAGCAACAAGTACAGCCATACCTCAAAGCACAGGTTCACCGTTATTCACAGGAATGCCTATTGGGCCTGGCGTATCGCCTCAGCCTGGTTTTTATTCGCGTGGTATTTGGTTACCAGTAGTAGCAACATTTACAAGTGGACAAGCTAAACCAACTTAGTAAGCATTATAATATTATTATATTTTTTCATAAAGTTTTTGATGAGGTTCAAGAATCGAGATGATAACGCAGCACTTATTTTAGTTTAGAAATGTTGGACAAGGTCGAACCACCGCAAATACCGATCGGTTATGGAATCAGTATAGCTTATGCATGTTTATTAGATATCATAAGATCGATCGCGCTAGCCATAAATGGATCGAAGGACGATAGTACCGAAGGTCAGACCTATCAGCCGAGTGAATCCGAACGAAAGCTTCATGTACAATTAATAAATTCTAGTTGGTGCGGTCTGCTGGCAGCTCTTAGCCCACTAATAGATGCCAGGTAACAATCTTATATTACATTTTATGTTGTACGCAAAAAATCAGAATAAATATAAAACGGATATATCTTGTAGCACGGATGAATCAGCGACAGAGAATGTCCTGAAAGCAATTCAAATGTTTGCGTCTCTTTGCGGACAATTGGATTTGCAACCGCCGCGCGATGCTTTCATAACTGCGATATGTAAGGCCTCGCTACCGCCTCATTACGCCTTAACTGTATTATACAACGCACCTCAAGGTATACCGACCGTAAGACAGCAGGATTCCGCGTATAATTTGACAATGGGCGAGCCCGATTACAGACAACAAGTAGTTGCCGTTGGTACGCCGCTACCTACGGCGTCTTTACCAATCGGTAGGATGATATGTATTATATACAGGATATTTCAGACTACCCGTATCACCCATTTAAAAACTAGAGAAATGGTTACTTCAAAAAAATAAAAACATTTTCTTTATAAATCGGGTGCGCTCTATCGAATGGTGATATTTTCAACTTCTGGTTCCGGCCGAAAATAGGCAATTCAGACCGGAAGTGCATTTTTTTAAATGAAACCCCCTATTTTTCATTGCATATTCTTGTAGCTTACCTCGAGAGCTTTCTAAAACACTCTAATAAATTATTTTTCCATGAAGTACTTTTCGAGTTATGAGGCTTGAAATCATTTCTTAATTTTACATAAAATATCTTGTAAAATATTTATTTTTCGATTATCTTACCTTAATACTTTTATGTATAAAATAATGAGACGAATCAATTGGTGTAAAGAAAACACATAGTTGTTTCTAAGAAAAAATATATAATTTGCAATTAACAATTCCATATTTTTTCTTAAAAACAACTGTATGTTTTCTTTACACCAATTGATTCTTCTCTTCATTATTTTGTACATAAAAGTATTAAGATAAGATAATCGAAAAATGAATATTTTGCAAGATATTTCATGGTTTATGTAAAATTAAGAAATGATTTCAAGCCTCATAACTCGAAAAGTACTTCATGGAAAAATAATTTATTATAATGCTTTGGAAAGCTCTCGAGGTAAGCTACAAGAATATGCAATGAAAAATAAGGGGTTCCATTAAAAAAAATGCACTTCCGATCTGAATTGCCTATTTCCGGCCGGAACCAGAAGTTGAAAATATCACCATTCGATAGAGCGCACCCGATTTATAAAGAAAATATTTTTATTTTTTTGAAATAACCACTTCTCTAGTTTTTAAATGGGTGGTATGGGTGATCTGAAACACCCTGTATATACAATAAATTATATGTAATATAATTTTGCTTTTATCCTGCTGAATAATCATTGATCACATTTAGGTGCTCATCAAGGTCCTGTTATGTTGACTGCGAAGAATTTGCAGTGCATGCGTGCGCTGTTATCGTTGGCTCATTGTCACGGTAGCATACTCGGTAGCGCGTGGCATTTGGTACTCACCACTCTTCAACATCTAGTTTGGATACTCGGTCTAAAACCTTCCACCGGAGGTTCGTTGAAGGCTGGAAGAACAGCGGCTGATCCGAATGCTGTATTAACGAACGCGGTTATGGCAGATTTACCGGTGCTTAGCGCCATGCTCAGCAGATTATTCGAGAGCAGTCAGCATCTTGACGACGTCGCTTTGCATCATTTAATAGATGCTTTGTGCAAGTTGAGTCACGAGGCTATGGAATTGGCGTATTCTAATCGCGAGCCTTCGCTATTTGCCGTTGCTAAATTGTTGGAGACAGGTTTAGTAAATTTACCACGTGTAGAAGTGCTCTGGAGACCATTAACGAATCATCTATTAGAAGTTTGTCAACATCCGCATATTCGCATGAGAGAATGGGGCGTGGAAGCGATTACATATCTTGTCAAGATGGCTCTTCAGCATAAATATCCGCAACCACTCCGTGATAATCAGAAGTTACAAACATTATTATTGGGGCCATTGTCTGAATTATCGTCTGTGCGTCACGGAGACGTCAGGCAACGACAGTTGGAGTGTGTTTTACAAGTGCTTCATGGTGCCGGAGAGACATTATATCACGGATGGCCTTTGGTCCTTGGTATTATAGGAGCAGTTTCCGATCATCACGGGGAAGCTTTGGTGCGCATAGCTTTCCAATGTTTACAATTGGTTGTAACGGACTTTTTACCGGTGATGCCTTGGCGATGTCTTCCGCTATGTGTCGACACAGCCGCTAAATTTGGATCGCAGACGCAAGAACTAAATATCTCGCTCACAGCCGTCGGTCTAATGTGGAACATAAGCGACTACTTCTTTCAAAATCAGGAAAAATTGTGTGTTTGCTTGCGCGGGGATTCATCATCGATGTTCCCCGATTTTCCTGGCACAACGAACATGCCGCCATTCGACAAACTCTGGATGTGTCTCTATGCGAGACTAGGAGATTTATGCGTCGATTCGCGACCCGCTGTACGCAAGTCAGCAAGTCAAACTTTATTCTCTACGATATCCGCGCACGGTAGTCTTCTGCATCAGCCTACGTGGCAAGCGGTACTTTGGCAAGTATTGTTTCCGCTGTTAGATAAAGTAAGAAGTTTATCGAATTCAGCCAGTAGCGAAAAGGTTGACACCAGCGGAAATATACTTATTCACCATAGCAGAAATACAGCGCAAAAACAGTGGGCGGAAACGCAGGTTTTAACGTTGAGCGGCGTAGCCAGAGTATTCAATACGAAACGTCAACTATTGCAAATGTTGGGGGATTTTCCTAGAGCATGGTCATTGCTCCTGGAATTCATCGAAAATTCCGCGCTTAGCAAGAATAACGAGGTCTCATTAGCAGCATTGAAATCCTTCCAAGAGATCCTCTTTCAGCCGAAGGGAAGCGATAATACTGAGATGATTCAATCCAATGATTCGGTGGGTTTGTGGACAGTGACTTGGCGCGTGTGGCTCAACATCGGAATGGAGAGTACTGCGCCACCACAGGAAGGCGACACCGAACCTTACGTGCCGTCGCAGGCATTCCTGACCGCGCTGATGCATATATTCCCAGGTGTTTTTCAACATATTAGGAACAAATTTACTGGTCCGGATTTGCAAAAATTGTGTATTGTACTGAAGAATGCGGTGGCCGTTCCAGTGCATGGCGAATCGACGCCATACATTTTGCCATCGGTGCCCGACGTAGTTCTCACTCACTTGCAAGATGAAGTGTTGCACTCTATGGAGCTTCTGCAAAAAGAAGCATTAAATGGCCCGGATAATTTACGCACGATGATTGTAATGATATTCCTTCAGTTACTGAGTTTCTCAAAGCTGGCTTGCGAGGCTCCGACATATGGTAAAATACCAACAAAACACATCTCTCAGATTAGAGGCGTGTCTGCCGATTGGGTCACGATGAATTACGTTCCATTTGGTGAAAAGTCCCTATCGATGGTCGTGAGTCTATATCAGAAGACCGCGCACGAGATGGCCGTGATTGACGGCCAGGTGCTGAAGCACATCGTGGAAGCGTTGCATGTGCCCTTGTCTATGAAATATGCATGTCCATCCGCGACCACGTGGAAGTTAGCCGTGACCAGTCTCTTAGCTGTTCTGCACACTGGTCTACCGCTCGCCAGGAAGTATCCTGAACAGTTCCAGAGTATGTGGCTCGAACTCGCAAGTACACTGGACGACTTTCTATTCCCTAAAAGGTAAACTCTGATGAATTTAGCGACTTTTTTGTTTGATCACCTTGAAAAGATTTTCAAAATTTTGGTTAATTGCAGTGTACTGACTGTAGAACGAGGAGTTGAAGAGATCCAGGCCGACGAGGCAGTAGACTGTCAAGTTATGGAATTACTGAGGGACGAAGTATTACCACATTCTCAGCATATACCTCATCAGTTTATACTGAGAGTTGTGATGCTTTTAAATAAAGGTTCTATACATTCAGCAACCACAGCGGCGAATATTGGTATAATATCTAAATATCTTGCAATACAGGGTGTTTCAGATCACCCATTTAAAAACTAGAGAAGTGGTTATTTCAAAAAAGTAAAAACATTTTCTTTATAAATCGGGTGCGCTCTATCGAATGGTGATATTTTCAACTTCTAGTTCTGGCCGGAAATAGGCGATTCAAACCGGAAGCTCTTCTTGTAGCTTACCTCGAAAGCTTTCCACACTATAATAAATTATTTTTCCATGAAGTACTTTTCGAGTTATGAGGCTTGAAATCATTTCTTAATTTTACATAAACGATAAAATATCTTGTAAACTATTCATTTTTCGATTACCTTAATATTTTTATGTACAAAATAATGAGAGGAATCAATTGGTGTAAAGAAAACATATAGTTGTTTTTAAGAAAAAATATGGAATTGTTAATTGCAAATTACATATTTTTTCTTAGAAACAATTATGTGTTTTCTTTACACCAATTGATTCCTCTCATTATTTTGTACATAAAAGTATTAAGATAAGATAATCAAAAAATGAATATTTTAGATATTTTATGGTTTATGTAAAATTAAGAAATGATTTCAAGCCTTATAATTCGAAAAGTACTTTATGGAAAAATAATTTATTATAGTGTTTTGGAAAGCTTTCGAGGTAAGCTATAAGAATATGCAATGAAAAACAGGGGGTTCCATTTAAAAAAATGCAATCCAATCTGAATCGCCTATTTCCGGCCGGAATCAGAAGTTGAAAATATCACCATTCGATAGAGCGCACCCGATTTATAAAGAAAATGTTTTTACTTTTTTGAAATAACCACTTCTCTAGTTTTTAAATGAGTGGTACAGGTGATCTGAAACACCCTGTATATTTATATATGAGATGTGTATTTATTCAACGTAAAAAAATTATTTTTTCGCTTTTCACAGAAAATGGTGCAGAAACAAAATTACGAGAAGAGTTCGCGAAAACTTGTTTCGAGACTCTACTCCAGTTTTCTCTGTTGGATGGATTAAATAACGACGCAGAAAATAATCCTAAAAGTAACCCAGAAAATGATGAGGGCGGTATAGCTGGGCGATTAGCAGTTACGGCTCTTCTACATAGATTTCAAGAAGTGTTGCGGCGATACATCGAGAGCGAAAGGCGGAGTGGAAAGTGTCCTTTGCCTAGGTAACAGTATAATATGTTATATATAAGTTATTAATAGCAATAAGTTGGAAATGATTTTTCTTTATGTTAATAAATATATGTATTTTTTTGTTTCAAAAAGATATTTTCTATCATAAGTACTTCTATATATATATTTTTAAGTATTTATTATAGAAACCTTTTCTAGATACAGATTGTCGGAGATATCATTTGTCCTTAAAGCTGTTGCCACGCTTGTAGTATCGCTCAAAAAAGCGCCACCAAATAAAGGTATTTTATTTCCTAGTGTATAAAAATAATATTCTTTATTATGTACGTATTTAACAAATGATTGTTTATATTTTAGTTGAAAGATCAGTGTGGGAACAGTTGATCGGATTATATCCATGCTTAGTAGAATGCACCATCGCAACTACTTCTGGACAAGTGTCTAGATCTTTACGAGAGGCTCTGCTGCAATATCACGATTTATTGCGAGCACCGGTAAACAACACGCCAACTTCCAATGGCGTTTGACCAATACATTCTTTTCTTTTAACCGGGAGCATGGACTTGCGCTAATAACTGCAGAATGGGTGAGTAATTTACTTGTGTAACTGGAAACGGATTTGCGCAATATAGTTAAAGTACAAGGTGAGTAATTTTGCTTATGTCAGATTTTGACTCACGATGAAATATACCTGCGATTATATATTCTCGGTTTCATGTAGAAACCTAATGAACGTGAGTGTATATAATTATACGCTCCACATAGAATAAACATTGTGTTAAATCTTTTGTTATAAATGCGATTTTGATCGCATAAGAAGGCAAAATAATTTGCTGGATCGCTGTAATTTATTCCGCTCATCTGTCGATACATATATACATATATATATGTATATTGTTTTTACAACAGTTGCAGTACAATAATCAAAATGCGAGCAGAGTTTTTAGATTGACGCATTCATTATAGGAATTTTATATAAATTTGCATATTTTGTGTTTTCGACTTGATGTCAGAGAGTAATAAAGATCTCTTTATAGGATTTGTTATTGCTAACTGTAATATCAATGCGAAGAAATTTCGTTATAGGATTGTTATATCGAATAACTTAAACTTCAAATAGTTGTGAAATAATGACAAATATAGAACTTGAGAAAGAAACAAAGAGGAAATCGTTCCTGTTTGAAATTATATATAATATAAAGAGGGATATGATATATATGATATAAAGGATATGAGATATATATATATATATATATATATATATATATATATATATATGATATAAAGAGGATAAATTATATAAAAAGGGTTTATTACCTTGCATATATTCTTCACAGCGAGTGTAGAAATCATGTGTTCTATAGCACAATCGATAATTCATTTCGAGTATATATAAAGCAGAAGGATGCTGTATATATTTGCAGAGGAAATGTACACACATATAAGTCAGCTTTTTTTAATTGGTGTTGTAAATAATGCGAGTATAGATACACTAGGATATATAGGTAATAGGATATACAGGTAATTTTATAAATAATATAAAACTTTATCATCTATATATATATATATATATATATATATATATATATATATATATATATACTATATATATATTCTTACAAATCACGCGGCGTCGTAAGTTATATTACCAGAATGTAAATAAATCTCTATGCAGATTAAATAAAACTCTCGAGCAGACATTATTCATGCTCTTCCGTTTCAGATTCCACAATATCCCTGAATCATAAATATTCCTATCTTCAATATTTTTTAGTATATTAATTTATTTAAGAAAATAATATGGACGTTATACGATAGATGTTTGCCAAATAAAAAAATGCAAAGATTATATATTTAATTCTTTGAATGTGTGGAATTTTTATATAAATTTTATAAATCATTTTATTGCATTTGAATATTAAAGATTATTTCATAAAATTCCACGTGTTAATATGTTAAATTAAAGATTGTTGGGAAAAGAGAAATATAAAATATTTTGATGAGAGACATATATTATATTTAAAAATAAAATATAATCCAGTAGAGGGTGTACACGCACGTATGGAACGTTCACTAGAATATGTAATATACGTATACAGAATCTGTCAGCATCGCACATTTTCTTTCATGCTTGTTAAAGATAAAATTAAAAAAAATATATATATTTAATATTTGTTTCAATAATTATTAAGTTTTTTAAAAAGCTGGAAATTATATAGGTAGAATAAAAATTTTATTCTTCAAATGAATTTTATTTCAATAAAATAATATCTGTTTATTGGTTAATTATATTGAACATTAAAGTATAAGAATGAATTTAAGATAAGATTTTTGCTAAAATTAATTTAAATTTAGATTTTGCAATAAATCTAATCGGTAGAAAATGTGCGCTACTTGAAATATCCTATATTTAAATTAATTGGCATTGTCTACGTATAATGCGTAATGTTCTTTTAAATTTGTTCAAACACAATTTTTTTTACAACTATACATTTCGATATATAATTCGTTTAATTCTAGTTGTCAACTTACGCAACATATTTTCAATGTGGTAAGTCTAACTACATAAGCATTTAACGAATTTGCATAAACGCTATGATATTTTGTGTGCACTGTATAATTAATAAAATCTTCAACGGAACTATAAAATCTCTGTGGGACTAGATATAAATCTATACATTCATTATAGACGCCTTAATTTACAAATTAAATTAATTTGTTCATCAATTTAGCGCCATGACTTGTTCACATGTAAGCATTGTCGTCAATAGTTACAGTACACTTTTATATTTAATACGCATTTTGTATATGAGCGTAGTTACATTTGTTACTTTTTTTTATTGAATCTTTTATACATACACATATATAAATGACAGTCGCAATAATTTGTGTCTAGAAAGACATATATAATTAATAATATTTTAAAAATACGGTGTGTCATACGCGGAATATGTAAAAAGCATTTTTGGTATAGCTCTATTCAAACTCTTAGTTGCAAAATATCTTTCCATAATGTTTATATTAAATAAAATATTGTCTTAATATAATAGAAAACAATTTCGGAAGAATTAAATCTTAAAGAAAATTAATACATACACTTGATAGACATGTCGAATTGCCGGAATAAATATACATTTATCTTAAATATGTTCTCCTTATGTATTCCGTTTTTTCTTTTTTTTTACTTTAATTTTCTTTTTTTTCCTCTAAGTCTTTAATATTAAATATAATTTTACCATAATTATTGTCTCTGTCATTTTTGCTGGAAATCTTCTACAATTATTAATAGACATAATTAATATCATATAATAATATTTCTCTATATGTCAAGTACAGTGATAAAGTATAGTCTCGTCAATTTATCGAATTAAGTGCACGAGGATTATGCATGCCAACTATATATGTATATGTAGGAGTGACACTTATATATCTTAAACAATATGCAAGTCTTTTATTTTAATTACAGAATGCAACGTACTTAACGTTATTCTTCTCCCCTGTTTTAAAATATCACCTATGATTAATTTATTGTCATTATTTGGCAATTTTTACTATCTAATAATAAAATATAGATAAGCACACTGTGAGGTTTCAAGAGTTCATACAGAGAGAAAGAGCTCGAGTAGTTACATACTCTTTTATATGTATATCCTTTTATTTGTTGCTTTTTAAGGTATAAATTTTGATAAACTATTAATACTCTTTTCACAGAAAAATCGTGCGTGATAGCACAATAAATAAATAAATAAATAAAAAATATATATACGCATATAACACAATTTATTAACATTATCATAATTTCTGTAGATCATAAAAACGCAGGAATGTTAAAAGAAAAATTACTTAATAAATCGGTCTTTAATATTTATACTCTAAATATAAAGTATATGAATGTTAATATTTTTATTTAAAATTAATACGATGATTACGAGAGTATGCAACTTGTTCGAGTCTTAATCTCGAGATTGTTCGACCAGTCTCTAGTTTGTAATATCAGGCACTGGGTCTTAACTAAAAACCTCAGCCTAAATGACGTTACTTTAAAATAACGGCTAATCTATAATCAACTATTATAAGTAACAGCCTTTCTTGAAGAGTAAAATCACGACGAATAGGACGCCGATAGAAAAGAAGAATCAAGAGTTCACGTGTTCTCGATTAGATAGTTTGTAGAGAGAGTTTATTTAACAATAGGAAATCTCGTCCTGCAGTTAAGTGAAAAACAAAGCTAAATCAATTGTTTCCGATCAAACTTTAATTTTTCATATTACATGAACATTTTATTTATTATAGTTCATATGACATAAAGAAATAAATAAGAATTAGATAAAAAAATTGTTTTATTAATAATTAAAAAATTAATAATTAAATCATTCTTAATAATTAAAAAATTCATAATTAAATTGTTTTCTTATTTTTTAATTAGAAAAATATTTCAAAGCAATTAGCGAAAATTGACATGTTCAGTTTTTGACTTAACTGTATTATTTGAAATTAGGATAAGATATATGAAATACTCCTTAAAGAATATATAAAGATAAAAAGGGCTTATTTTTCTCTCTCTCTCTCTCTCTTTCTCTCTCTTTGTAAAGACAGAATTTGAAGTAAATTTTTTTGCATGAAAATATTATCTTTATATAATTCAAAATCCATATTTCAATACTATATATCTCAATAAGTATGTTAAAAATTAAATACTTAAAAAAAAAGAATCTATTTTATATTTCTCAAGAGTCAAATTTATAATTTGTTAAAACTTTTTAACTTCTGACATTAACAAATTGTATTTTTCTATTCAAATTAATAACATCGTTAAATTTTTAATAGAAGAAACGATGAAATATAAATTACGCGAATACATATAACAGATTATAAAGTCTATTACAACTATTATAATAATGGATATAGTTATATATATTCACACATAACATTTTAATGATGTGATAGACAATAAAAATACTACTATTTCGTCGATTAATATTTATTAAAATTTATCAAAAATCTTAAGACAGAATGTGGGAATCAAAGAATAAATTATCAGATATGTCTGTGCATATGTGTTTGTGTTTGCGTATGTGTAGATATTTGCACATAGATATGTGGTATTCAAATATACAAGTATAAAGTTTTTTCGATCAGAACGTCATTTAATATCAAATTATTATACGTATAATTATATATCCAGTTTTTTCTCGCATTTATATTTTTTGTACGAACTATAAAAGCTGAGAGCTGATTATTTCTTCAGCATGAGCTACGGATAAGCCACACAAATAGTTGTTCTACGCGATTTCAATTTTTTTTATAGAGTTGCAAGAAACTTTTACATTTATTGTCATTAAAATGCACTCTTTAACCCTTAAGTGTTTGATCAGCATTTGTTATTGCAATGCTACTTAATTACTCAGGACTGACAGAACTTTGCAAATTTAATAAATACTTTGATAGACTTCGCAGGAGTAAAATATTTAAAGAGACGCACAATAAATTTACGTTACCGATATTGCGTTTAAGATAGTGACAAATGGTACATTTATATTGATTTTCATACGCATTATGTATATTACAATAAACATTTAAACATTTAAGGGTCAAGTGTAACATTGCTTGTACGTACAACTAGCAATCATTTTCACAAAAGCTTCATTCCGCCTTAATTTCATCTTAATTTTTCTTATAAGACATCAGAATCTTCTTCTCCCTTTTTTTGTTTGTTTTTTTTTACCGCAATATAGGCGTATATAGTTTCGTATTAAGAACACAGAATTATTGTACGCACAAACCTTTTCTTAAGAGTAATTATTGTCTTTCATTTTCAATATACATTGGCACAGCGTAGTGCACTTTGATGGATTATCGAAGAATATACTAGAGTTTCTCTCTTACATTAAGTTAATGTACAATGTCAAAATTTGTTAGAGATATAAGTCTTACTAGTTTATTGTCCAAGTATTTTTAAATATTGGAGGAAGCCAGGATGTAATATTTTCTATTTGGCACAACTGCAAACATTCACGTGCAAATATCTTGAAGAATATTTTGCTATATTTTAATTGCTATATTTTAATTGATCCATATTTTTTTCAGATAATAACGAATAGTGAAACAATAATTTCGAAAAAATTAAGCTACGATAAAAGAATCAATTTTTTAAACTGTTTTTTAGATTTATGTAAATTATTTAATGACCATTTTTAATAACATTTTGGAATTTGTAATGATATAACAATGAATAATATGACATGATGTTGAAAAAATCAATTAATATATATAAGCAACATTATAAAATATATTGTCATATATGACAATGTATTATATTTAGGCTGAATATATAGAATGATTGTTATCGTGTTCATAATTTTCATTTGATAATATTAATTATTAATATTAAGCTGATACGATATTTAGGTGACGTTCTGCGAAATAATGTTAAAATTCTGCACGTGAAAGCTGCAATATGACCCAATCCATGCAACTGCATTGAATTGCATTTTCGCGAAGTATTTGACAATTTTCTGGTATCTACGACATACTTTTGAGGGGAAAAAATTTGATTTAATATTTTTAGAGACCTTTTTAATAAAAAAAGATAAAAGAACTATTTTTTTTAACAGAAACAAATCTCCATGGAAAATGTTCCATTTTTCTATGAAGTTAAATTCATTTAAATTAAATATTGTACTTTTGTATGACCGCGAAAAAATGTATAATATCTTTAATGTATTCGAGATTTCAAGACAGTTTTATATTCGATTTAAAAATTTATAGCTTTTCCTTTAAATTATCGCGAGATAAAACGAAAAGAAGTTTGCTTTATGTTAAGTTTCTTTAAGATCAAACATTGTGTAGTTTTATTCTGTATAGATTTAATAAATTCAATATAATTATTCTCTTTTCTTCCTACGTTGGATGTTTTAAAAAAACTTCAAATGCAGAGAAATTTTAAAATCTATGAAATCTATGAAAATGTGCATTATGTCAAATTACTCGCTTCAATGCCGTTGCGAAATCGGACTGCACAAATATAGGAAGCATCGAAAAAATGCATGCATATATCTTCAATCAAAGTCCGATCCGATATGTAAATAAATTGTTTTATCTCATGCATATTTTTAATTCTATCTGCATTAGAGATATGCATGCGATATTCTGATATATTCAAGAAGAATAGCTTTGGCGCTTTTAACCCAATAAGTCCTACTCTTCAAATCTTCTTTCAATATTTATTTTACGCTTTCCCATAAAATTTGCTCGGATTTAAGATTCTTAGTACGATGGAGAACCGTGCTTTTCGCTGAGAAAGTTTCATGATAAAGAAACTCGATTGATTGGGTTAAAATGCACCTTTATCTGCACTTACTTATTGTTGACACAAAGACTTAAAAGTTCGCGCAGATATCCAGATCTTCAGAATGCACGTGATCTTCGAAGTGAGCGTTGTCTTTTACTCTTGCAATTGCAGCTTCGCTATGATAGACCACAACTGGATACAATTGCGTCGTAGAGTCACAAACACTAGTATGCATGCGGCAGTTTTCGGATTTGTACCGTTCCTTTGCAACAATTCGCAGCATACTAAGGTGACATGTATTCTCGCGAGAGGGGCTCGCTCCTCTGTGAAAAAAATATACAAGATATGTTGAATATGCAAATAATTAATTTTAAAGAATATACAAGAAAAATCACAAATATAAAATATTATAATATGTAATAATTAATAATTATAATATGTGATAAGTATTATATTAATTATTACATATTATAATATTTTATATATTTATTACATATTATAATTAATAATTATAATATGTAATAAATATATAAAATATTATAATATGTAATAATTAATAATTATAAAATGTAATAAGTGTTCACGTAAATAAAATATATAAAATATAGATGCATTATATAATATATAATACACAATTCTCGAAGAACCTCGAGCAAAATATAATTTTAAGATGTAAATTAAAATAGAATGACTGTAGTTAGACTGAAATTAGATTGAAGATAAATAGAAAATTGTGGAATCTGAAAAATTGTCATCGTTAATTTTTATAGAACTTTTTATAGAACAAAGAACTTACCGACCAAGCCCGACTGATATTGGGCGTGTAACGTCGCGAATTGTAATCATAATTGACCTTTGGTGTCATCATTTCTAAGAATGTGGGATGATAGGAGAATTGCTTTCGTGATTGTTGCCTACTCGGTTCTTGTTCTTCGTTTAATCGGTCTTTTCCTTTAAATGTGGCAACTTTCTCCATCTCTTCGATTATATGTTGCTTCTAAAGTAATCATTATTTAGATGATTCTTATAAAGACATATTTCAAAAATAAATTTTTAAATATCAATATAATAATATAATTAAATATCAATATAAAATAAAATTTAGGAAAAAATGTAATATTGTTGAAAATTTTTCTCTTTTGTTTTTCGATATTTTTTACAATCAATTAATATAAACGATCTCGTGTCCACAGTACACAAGACAATGGTTTAAGCTAGTGTTCATGAATTAATAATAACACCATGCAAATTTTTATACTGTATCGTAACGAGATTGATTTGAGAGATTAACGAATCGGGAACCGACCTGTAACTCGCGTGCTCTTTCGGCCTTGATGAGATCTTTGAGCTCTTCGAAACTGCCAGATTGAGGGACCTGCGTTTTTGGAGGCGAAAGACCGCCGGCGAAACGGAAGCTATTGACAGGGCGATTATTATTCGGCGAATACGGCCCCTTATTCACGATTCCGTATTGTCGCGTCAGTTCCTCCATGGCTTTTACGCGCGAGGGTCCTCGCATCCCGCTTCGCCATGTGCTCCCTGCCGGGGCTTTATGCACCATCCTCCCGTAAATCGGCGCACCCCCGGCGGCTCGGCTGCGCGGTCGTCCACCGTGTCTCCCTACAATTTTAATGAATTCCTCATTCTTTTAACTCACCCTTTAATCTCTTTCTACGTTAATTTTCCTCTTAAAATACCACCTTGCAACACAAACGCGAAAGAAGACTGCTGGCCGCGGAAATATTCGTGAACTCAACATTTTATGAAGTGAAGGATCGATTAGAAAATAGAGGGGAAAGAATACTTCGATCTTCCTTTAATTCCACGTTCTATTACATGTATAAATTTAATGTGATTTTTAAATATAAATAATGAATTTTAAATATAAATAATGAATCTCTTTGCAACCTTTTTCCTTTTTCGAGGGAGAGATTAGAATAAGTATAATCTCTTGATTAATTAATGTTTGTAGGATCGATTTCTGCGTAAAAAGAAAATTAATGTATTTTAGAATAATTAATTACACGTTATTAATTATTTTAAATTAACAACTGACACAGTTTTGGGATAACAGTCATTCGTGGCATAGCATATCGCGAGAGTTTGAAATAATTGAGATTATAGACATTCTCTGCGTGGGCGGAAATGAGTGACATCAGGTCAAGAAGCGTGTATATTACACCTCGATGGTTGTAAAGGGTTTGAAAAGGGTTGCTGACATTTTGCGTGGGTGAAGCCGCCGCGAATTTCGTGGCCAGTGGCATTATAGCGCTGTGTAGATCGAGCCTTAACAAAATTACGATACCAAAGAAGTTCGATGGTTGTTTTTTGCGCATCATCAGCTAACTATTCGCTAACCATCTGCGATTATATTGGGAGATACGATTGAAAGGCTATATCGGTGTTTAAACACGATAATTAATCTCTCTAACTAGACATGTATACACAAGTGCTCGATTAGATTCGAAAGTAAAGCGTCTATTGATACTAAATTCTTGTTTGATCAGCAATTTTAATTTATGAAATCGCGAAAAATAAGTATCGCAAAAGCAGCACAAGTAACGCAAAAAGTTAGAGACTTAAAAAAATGTTTATAAATGAGTTCAATTCGTTAATGACTTATGATGTGTACGCAATCATCAAGATAAATAATAAACTAATTTTATCTCAGCAAAATCGATTAACTTTAATTGTAGTCTAATTAATTTTCTAAAGACTACATTACCATCTATTTATATTACATAAAAATGTACAGAGGAGATCTAATTAATAATTACTAGTTTAATTAACTATAATACAATCGACCTAGAAACAATAAATATTAAATACACAGAAAAAAAATGCCAAATCAAAACTTATATACTTAAACTAATGCGTTTATTGTTTCGTATATACGCAACAATTTATAATCTTCTTAGAAGAATTTAATAATTTTAAATTTTAACAATATTATAGTCTTATTTTAACATTGCAATTATCACCTCAAGAATATATAATTATTTAATTCTTTAAGAAAATTATAATCTTTGATTTAAAAATGTTATTTTCTATCTATGTAATATTGTTTCTTTTCCATTCAAGAAAATTAAATTTCAAATCATAAGTATATAATTTTTTTGATTGAATTATATAAAATGGTTTCGAGTAAGCAATTATTCAAGCAATTATATTTTTCTTTAAACTAAATATATTTTCAAAAAGAATGTCCTTTTTTCTGTGTACATACTTATTAAATGAGAGACGTCGCATCATTGTAAAATTAATAAATTGAAAAAAAAAATTCTTTTTCTTTTGAAGAAAAGAAAACTCATATCTCGAATAAGGAGTTTCTTGCAGATTCGCGGAAGCAAAAGGGATCAAATTGGCTCTCATTTAATTAAGACCCGCGCGAGGGGGGGAAATTAAATAATTCAAATGCTGCCTGTTAATTGCGCGTCCGCTCCGCGCGATTAAATTTAGATGCGAACAAAGCCCTTGATTCGCTTGCGAGCGTTTTACGAAGCGATAGATAGCCAGCATATATCCCCGATAATTAGTCTGAATCATGTGTACTCGTTAACGTAAGTGCCGGCGCGTAAAGTGGTGCGCTTGACCCACATGTGCGTCGCGTATTTGCAAGATGGTATTGCATCCTGCCCGGCTGTGCAGGTTCTCTCAGCAACTCTCATGGGCTGTGATGCGCTACTCGATAAAACGCACAAAATCGATAAAATGCACACGTTCTTCTCGTTATCCCCGTCCTGTCTGCGATACGCCGAAGAAGATACATTGGGAGAGAGTTCGCGTGTTATTACCGTTTAAAAGGGAGATAAAATTCGGTTCGACTGGGTGCGTACTGTCAGACATATTTAGTATTTTTTACAATGAAATTTCAAGAGCGACAATCAAATTGAAAGCGGATTGAAATTCTATTTAAATCCCTCGCACGCGTAATTTAATTTACTAAGTAAGTACACGCAGTCGGAAAGAAAATTATACAAAGTAAGTTTGCTTACCTTCCAATTCTTCCCGGAATTTCAGTCGTGTAGGCGCGACAACATCTGCGTAAGGCCAATTAGTTGTTTTTAATTTTTGCGAATTCTCTAGTTTCTCGTGCGTTAAAAGGGGGAAAATTACATCTATCCATGCGGGGGACGGCAAAAGCGAATTTCCGAGCTTTCAGGAAGACTTGGCGTAGGTACGGTTGCGGCTAAGGCGTGAAAGAAGCGCATAAGGTGTATCCTCACCTCGCGTGTATCCTCTAGAAAATTTAGTGCGATCGGGAAGCGCGGTGCGCGGCCATATATTGGGATTGTACGAGTACATCGAATATCCGTTGGTGGTTTTAGCGGCTCTGCTCTGTCTCTTGGTGTACCTCCACATGGCTCGCAGCTCGTCGCACGTCGGCTCGCTCAGGCCCAGTCGTTTGTCGCCGATGTCACCGTTACTTCCCGGCTGCGGATCGATGAATCGTATACCTGCGACAAGCGACCCGCTCGTGCACGTCAGGACGAAGGCGATGCACACCGCTGCGGAGCGCATTTTCTAAAATCATCAAGTCAAAATCGAATCGTCATAGACACTATATTAAGATAATCGAAGAAAGGGAGGCAGAGAGAAGCTTCTTATATTTTTTTTTTTTTCAAAAGTTACTTTTCTAAATTTGATTTCACGAGGGAATTCTTTTCTAACACGGTGTAGAAGTAACGATAAGGATTAAATTAAATTAAAACAGCAAAAAGTCTGGGATCTTGGCTTTAATATTTCATTCTGTTTTTGCCTCTGAGGGGTGTGAAAGAAAGGGAGCGTGGATTTTATGATGTCGCGTAAAAAAAAAAAGAGTCATAAAGCAAGTTTCTAAAATTCTTAAGTCCTCGGATTTATTCAGGCGTAAATTTCAATCATAAAATATCGTGCTTTTATGTCAGCTTGCGTGTGCACATTTCACTCGTTGAGTTTAAAAAGTCGTGTAAAATCGACGTGATATTTTACAATCTCTAACTCATTCATAAGTAACGATGTATAACGTATATTTGCAAATAAGAATAAAACCCAGCGACGTAAAATTGTATGGAGCAATATATTGTTGACTCGGCGAACTGTCGAAATGCTTTCTGCTGCCAACGGCAAATTCAGCTAAGCGTGCCCAACAAATAAAAAATCTCGAAACTTAGCAATATACCATGCCAGATATACGACCCAAAAAAGAAATATATATATTTCGATGCACTTTATCAATATACATGGTTGTTACCTCGAAGCTACTTTTATACAATTTCTCAAAATCGTTAAAATGCAGTTTTACGGATACGCATTGTGAATCTCGAGCGATTATCGGATTCGACTTTTCAATCAACTTGAATTAATCTAGTATATAAAATATAAAAAGTTTGCAATGTATAAATGATTGGAAATAATATAGAATATAATAGATTTTTTATATATTTTTATTGCATTAATAGATTTATGTCTTTTATGAACGGATATTTTTATTAAAATAATGTTTGTGATTGAATTAAAAATAATTATTAAATATTGATTGGTGCTAAAAAAAGTACCCGTTATTGTTACAATAACGAGGAACATTTTATTATTATTTTTATATAATCCTAATATTATTTCATATTCCTCTGACATTATTTTATACTGTTCCATTTTATATATGGATCATGAATTGAACCGTGACGAAAGAACGATTTTTTCTTTGATGATTTGACGTTTCCATGATTTTCATATCGATTTCTTACAATTTAAACAAATTTAATCATACAAAATCGAGTGCTTTTATCGGGGATGCATAGGTTGATTGCGCGCAGAGCAACAAGCTGTTTGCGCCACGATCGTAATCTGCATTAATTAAGTACTAGCGCGTGTCGAGTGGTGAACCATGAATTCGAGAAGGCTGAAGTATACTAATGGCGCTCGTCCTCGAGAATTTGTACCCTATCGAAAATTCGATGACATCTATTTCAATCAAATAGAGACTGCGCGACCTACCGTCAATCTCCTGTTTTTCGAGTGACATCGATGAATCGAGTTAGAGGACCAAGTTTCCGATTTGATTGCATCTCTGGAATTTTCGAAACTTTTTCGGATCGCTTAAGAAAGCTCTTAATTTTACAAATTGCGGAAAATATCGGGAGCACTCGACACGAACGATCCTTGCTCTTGTACCGATTAACTTCTTCGACTGATACATTGCTCGGCTCTTGCCGGGGCAATTCTTGCGAAAAAAGGATTACTTGTTCTAGGAAACTTTGACGTTGAATGTGAAGGATTGCCTTTTTCTTTCGCTCATTTTTCTTCAGTCTGATAATTATAGCACACGTGAGATCGCTTGTAATTCCCTTGTACGGGAATTATTTTTCTCAAATATTGGAAATTAAATGTTACGTTTCGTGGCGTCGATATTTCGCATTATTATATGTGAAATCAAGGATCTTACATCTAATTATTATATAGCCTATGAGATATATATTTCGAAATTTTGTTTTTTAATACAATATTATAATACAATATTATAATATAATTACACAAATATATTTCGTTTTGCCTATATAATTATATAATACAGTCGTTATTGATTAATTAAGCTGCAATAACATAGCTTTTCGTGGTTTCAGCAAAATTGATAGGCTAGTTTCGATGTATAGGAATATTGAATGAAACACGCTTGTGTGGGTGGAAGTACGAAATCCAATTAGGAATAATTAGCTTTGCGAGATGCACCTCGACGGTATTTTAATCGCGCATCACGTCATTGATTCGTTTCATCGGCCGGCTGATCGTAGGATGCAATCCGGTAAAGCATAACGGAATGCGCATCGATGCGATGGAAAGTATGGAAACGGCGGAAACGGTTCGCTGCCGCGGAAGCTTTCATTGTTCCACTGCGAAAAGCTAGTATTTTGGGATATCAATCGCGTCATAAAGCTTTCGTTATTCGAAGAATAAAAATGATAGCTTTCGTTATTCGAAGAATAAAATGAATTAAATAAATGAAATAAATTATTCGAAGAATAAAAATGATAGCTTTCGTTATTCGAAGAATAAAAATGAACCTAACCGCCCCTCATTTCTAGCGTTTTGGCATTAAATAATCTGCGAAATATAATATATGATATTCTTTTGAATCTTTTCTGCGCGATTACGTAGATTATAAAGAATATAAAGGATGCAATATTTCTTTTACTTTTTGAGAGCGAATAAATTTTTCTCAGATATTTCTCCATTTTTCTCTCTTCTCTTTTTTCCTTTATTATGTGATACATATTATTTAAAACCGTCTGTAATAAACTATCGGTGACTGGTGTAGGTGTACAAATATATATTCATAGATATGTATAAATGTATGGATTATGATATGATATATTACAGTGAATTACAGTATTTGTGTGCGATCAGTCGATGTCGAATGAACTTCGAAGAGAACTATTGAACTGGAATTCGGGTCAAATTGTCAATTTTGTTTTATATTTAGTCTCAAGTTTAATCGTCATAACAGCATAATCTTATATTACAATGATATATTTTGCATAGTTAATATATTAATTAATTGATGAAGAATAATTTAATATAATAATTAATTGATGAAGAATAATTTAATATAATAATTAATTGATGAAGAATAATTTAATATAATAATTAATTGATGAAGAATAATTTAATATAATAATTAATTGATGAAGAATAATTTAATAATTAATTATTTTGCAAGATGTCGGGAATAAACGAGAATTTTTTTTTTTTCTTAGTATTATACGGTTTAGCACATGTATATGTATTTTACGTTTACGTGACCACATATGCACGTGCAGCGGAATTAAAATGCAAATTCCTGAACGGATTAGTGAATGTTATTGCATTTTTGCGGAGAGATCTTGTGTGAGTGTATATGTGTGTGTTTGTATTATTTCGCATTTATATTCATAACACACGAAATTTACCTCTTTATTATCAGTGATATTCCTCATCAATAAATGTGTATATATAGCAACGTACAAGATATACTGCTATGTGTATTATCGGATTTTACTTATTAGGATTTGTGACGCTTTTTATCAGAATGACGCGTGCTTTCATTATCATTAGATTGTAATGCCTCATATACGATTGCACTTTTTATGACAAAACTGCATAAAAGATAAGATGAAAGCAATAATTATTGCGATTAATTATTAAAGAGTAATAATAATAACATGGAAATAATTACATAATATCAAAATAATTACATTACGAAGATTTGCGGGTACATAAATCTAACAAATTACGCGTATGAGCTTTTAATAATATATTATCATGAGACAATTATATGAATGAAATAAAATACAGAATTAAATATATGCAGATATGTTAAATAAAGTTTTAAATGTGTCCTTTTGCAAAAATATGGATGTCTTTACGTGTTCAATATTTTATTATGCAGGAAATTTTCTAGCTTATTTTATTTATAAAGTATAATACAAGTTTTTAGATATTAGAAATTTTATTTAGAATTTTTTTTTATGATATAGATATTTCTTTTTGAAAGATTATTCCGTTATACTAAACGCATGTTTCCGCATTGCTAATATTTAAATTGTTACGAGAACAATTGCTTTATTCGATATGACAAATATATATTCGAGTTCCTGTGGCAGAGATTCGACATCATGATTTATTATTAAACTGTCGTAGCCGAGGTCGAGCAACATGTGTTTTCATAAATATATTCCGAAGGACCAGCATGTATATCGGAGAATGGTCTATGAATATTCAAGCTTCGCACCTGCATCGTCATCAATTCAATTCTTGCAATTTTATAGACAGTTACTTTGTCGAAGATTTATGAGAGAATCGAAAAGATCAATCGATAGGAATAACTTTTCGCGAGAGGTGTAAAATTGCAACAAAGTAACGAACTCGTGAAAAATTCCAGTATCTGGAAACTATTTCTGGAAACACGACTGTTCGCGGAAGATCGATTCTTTGAATAATATAATAAAGTACTTCCGCAGTTTTCAATCATGCTTCACAGAAATGGAAATCTCGCATATAAGCACGAAAATAATATCGATATCATGTTTCTAGAATTATGGATTTGCAGTATGATTCCTTGCTCGATATCATTTGACATTTCTTTTTATAAAATTCTTATTTCTTTTTATTTTATGAAACGCATAATCTTTATAAATTTTCGGATAAATTCGTTCTACGTTATTAGTATTCTTTTATATAGTAAATAGTTGTATTAAAATAAATAAGAATAATTGAATGTTAATATTATAAGATTATATTAAAGTTTTTAACGATATCTAATTCGAATATTATGCTTACTTTGAATTTTACAGAGAAAATGCATTTCTCCACTCGAGAGCAATTAATTTTGAATGGAAACAAGTTCTCACTTACACATACACACACACACACACTCACGACCATTGCATATAAAATTACATTTGTAGAGCGGAAATGTGCTGTTTGTGAAAAGTGACGTTGCCATGAATAAAAATGTAGTTCTCTGGAAAAATTCCGGATTTTGCGATAAACGATGTATATATATATAT